GATCTCTTCGCCTTTATTAGTTGGAATATTTTCAGATTTATCAAACTTATGTTGCAGCACCGACATTTGTCCCTGCAAACTTGATACTCCAACAGTTATTGTATTCAAGGTTCCCTAAAATTCAGTGAACCATTTTTCTTGGCCTTTAAGCAGCTGGACTATTGATTCCATGCTTTTATTTATTGTGGTATACAATGGCTCAGGGGCGATGTCCCCTGAATCAACTGGCCACATATCAAATGATGCAGGTGCCTCTGGTCTGCCCTGGACTCGCGTCACAGAAACTGGACCAGGTAATCCTTCATCTGGATTGGATAATAGATTGAGCTCATCCTCTTTCAGATCCAAAAATTTATCATGAACCTGCGAGGAATTTCAAAAAGAAACGCTTTGATCATTAATAGTTTCAAAACGGCATAATAATTTAATTGAAAATTAAAGATATATGTAACTTGCATGATCAGGAGTCAACATCATAAAAGCTATATCAAGTTGGGATAAGCTCAAGCTTACAGTTGTTGGCCACCTCAACATTCGAGGTCTAGCCTCAGGATTCGCAGGAGTAATCAAATAAGTGTGCTCATAAAACCAGAGCTCTGTGAAAAAGACATATTTAGCTTTACACAAAGAAATAAATAGCATTTGGCTTTAATACGATGTACTTACCGTTAGCAAAAAAAGAAAACCATTTATATATCCCAGAGGCCGGTTCCGCCTTATTTTGATGGCAATCGCATTTATTTGCTCAATAAGATATTCACATAGCGCAGCGGGCCAATTAAATGAAGCAAACGTATCTACATTCTCTCCAAAGATTTAAAGCCCTTTGAATACACTGAAATTACTAGACGGAAAAAATAAATTTGATAACAAATAGTTTATATACAATTGATTAAAAGGGGCACAAGACTCCCCAGTTCCGAAGGTCAACAGACCAGCCTTCATTTGACGGGCATCAACGCCACAGGATGAAACTTTCTTCCACTTTGGAACTTCTCCTCTATTTGGCATGCCAACCAAGAGGGCAACTTCATCAGGATTAATCCTCAAATCTTTCCCTCCCAGTTTGAAAACCATTTTTTCATGTATCCAACATTGCAATATTTGAAGTGTGACCACATTGTCTTGGGGATAAGGTGGAAGTGCAAAGCACTGATCAACATTCAAGGTTTTCAGCTCATTCATCATCTCGTCAGATACAACAAGCCTGACCTTATCAAGTGCATCTCGAACTACAGATGATCGACATCTAGAACTGGTGGACCTTGGGTTCACAAACCTACATCAAACAAAATAGTGCAAAAAATATAAGGGGTTATGTAGAAATATTTTATTACGGGAATACAATGGTAATATTTAAGCAATATTATATGATCTAGCATAGTATTATTTAGGTTATATTATTAACTTACGTTGTATTCTAACATTGTAGTATTTTGGTTATATTATGGTTGTATTTCTGTTGTACTGCTGTTGTATTTTTGGCACTTAGGTTTAGTACTTAGGTTTAGTACTTAGGTTATATTATAGAAGTTTTTCCGTTGTATTTAGGTAATATTATCAAGGTTATATTCCGGTGTAGTATTAAGGTTATATTCTGGTAGTTTTTCCATTGTATTCTGTTATTATTATAATATTATCTCTGTAATACTCAGGTAATATTATTTAGGCTAACATTATATTCTAGTGTTACTCAGGTTTAGTACTTGGGTTATATTATAGAAATTTTTCAGTTGTATTCAGGTATTATTATTATTAAGGTTATATTTTGGTGTAGAATTAAGGTTATATTCTGGTAATTTCTTCGTTGTATTATGTTATTATTCTAACATTATTTCTGTAATACTGAGGTAGGATTTAAGGTATTGTTAAATAGTGATTGGTTTTGTATTATAATTAAATAGCAAGTTTTATTGAGGTTTAATGTTGGTTTTTAAAGGTAATATTGTGTGCACGTGTGTAGAACTCAAAAACACCAAAATAAAAATTACCTGGATGAACCCTCTTCGATTTCCTTCTTCTTTCGCTCTTCCCCTTCCTTTTTCTTGGGTTTCTCGACCTGCATTGTCGATTCCTCTTCGGTTTCCATTATCACGGGCTCCTCCGTCTCCATTCTCACTGGCTCTCTTCGTTTTCCAACAGCAAATCTAAAAGCCTGAGTTTATCTGATTCAAAAACCCTAAAAGATAGAATGAAGATCGAATGAAGGTGCTCCGTGCTCTCCTCGCTCGGGCGTCGTTTGGTTTTTCGATGAAATAAACTTTCTTTCAGGCGCTCTGTTAACTTTTACTTGTTTCGAGCCAGATTCAGGTTGGGTCGCGCCGTAAACAGGCCTCAATTTTATTTTTTAAGTTGTGGGGCCCACTGTCCCAGATGTCATCTTTCCATTTGGACACCGCATGCATAGTTGTGTGCGGTGTCCGCACAGAATAAGAACTCGTTAGTGTGGGTCTTGAGATGAAAATTTTATTTATATACATGCCACTCAATTCATGTGTATTTACATATTTACAATTAAACTATATAGTTGCGTGCAGTGTCCGCACAGAATAAGAACTCCTTAGATGTAAATTGTTTGTGTCTCCCCTTTGTCATATCACTGTAACCCTTCTCTTTTGCTTTACTTCAATGATATATATATATATATATATATATATATATTTATATCCATACAAACTTGTTGGGTCAACCCAAGCATCGAAATCCGTGCCCGGCAAGTAAATTTATCATCCATCGGCGGCAAGTCATTGACTGAGAAGGCGTCGTCGGTTGGCCGGCGACGGGGACAGAGTCATCGAGGAGATGTTTGAACAATTCTAAATCTCAGTTTTCTGTATGGTTCTTAGCCAAAATCCCAGCAGAGATCGATGTAAGCAAAGATCGTAAATGAATGGGCTTTTGTCACCTTCTCCTCAGCCCTCACCGCATTTTACTTTGGACTCGCAGGAGCTCTGATGATATCTCGAGAGAGGCCATCAAGCGGGCCATCAAAGCTCTCCACAAGAGGCGTTTGCTCGAGGAAGGCGCACATGGGCCGGCCGTTGCAGCTCTGGCCAGGCCGTTTGCTGCCCAGGTTATTTTGCTCTCATCTACTTGAACTATGTTGTGGAGGATTCTTAGTTTCGGAAAACTAGGCTTCAATGGTTTCCATTGTGTATTCATGCCGGGAAGCGTCTATCGCGCTAGGTGCAACCTGTTTGGTCATCTCCCACACGAAACTCTCAGTTCTCTTTACCTTTTGCAATGATTTTCTCCTTCCATACGGTGTGAACGCTAAGGTGTTTTTAGCTCATAGAAGATGAGTTTGCACTGTGGTTATGAAAAGTGAGGCCTTTTTTTTTCTTTCCGTGTACGAAAGTTACTTTCTTCATCATTGATACTAGACATGGAAGTCGGCTGAGTTCGTTTATTGTAGAGATAAGCTGACATAGTCTCATATGCCTGGTTTTAATAGTTGATTTGGTGCGCATTATGGTGTAGAAGTCTGTCAAAGTTATGTTGATGACATTTGAATATGTATATTAGAGCATTTACTAGTGTTATAAGTAGTTATAAAATAACTAAAGAGTTCTGAATACAATAAGATTACATCAATGATCAAAATTTAGATCTTTTTATATTTGTTCTGGAGATCCTTAAAAGTATATTCAGAATGAGGATCCATAGTGTATGATTTTTCTTAGCGATAGTTCTAATCTATATCATATATGTTGAAATAAATGAAATGTAAGAATAGTAAAAACAAAATATATATAGGATTGAGTGCTTAAAATTAGAAAAAAGATTCATAATATGATTTGCAATTTTAGTTGGTGTGTTATCAACAATTGTTAATTCATATTTTTAATGATAATGTGATTTTAGGCATGAGAGGTTAAATATTTTGAATTTATCATATAGAAGAACTTGGATATTATTTTCGAAGTTAAGATTTGGAAGTCAATATTATATGATAAGCAAGTATTATGTGATTTTGATGAAAAATTATAAACCCTTCTTCTGGCTGAATCTAAGTTTTTGATATTGAGAAGTCCTTGATATCTAACCTAAGCATGACATAAATAAGAATGTTAAGATGGTTTTATGGTAAAACTAGAAAGAATAAATTAAAGAATGATTATTTTAGAGAAATAATTGAAGTGGTATCTATTGAAGATGGTGATAATTAATGTAGCTATTGCATAAGTAGATATACTTATTGAGTTATCGTTAGGAATTTGGGAGGAGAAGGGATAAACCTAAGGTAGCTTGGATAGTAATTGTTCAAAACAGAACAAATGAAATGAAGATTTATGAAGCTGCTCCAAAATAGTTGAAATAAAAATAATATGATGATGACCTTTATATATCATCATCTTCATCATTAGACTTATTCCTCTATTTGGGTCATCTTACTGAATCTTAATTTATTCTTTTTCTTCATTCATTTGACTAATTTATGTGTTTTTATTTGTTAATTTACAATAATCTTTGTTCTCAAATTCTACCTAACTCTCTTCTAACATTGGTTCTATTAAGCCTTGTAACATAAAAGCTAAAACAAAAAAGTTAGCAAAAATAAAAAAAGGTGGTCTACATGTTACTTGAATTATTGGTATTGTTTTGTTTTTGGTGTCAAACCATGCTTAAGATTATATCCATGAAGCAAGCAATGTAGAGGACACTATGGATTGAATTTTGCTGTAGATATTTTTTATTTTTAAAATTGTATTACATTTGTCATAATATCTTATAGAATGCCTATTAAGCATGTGTAAGAGAAGGACAAAGCTATGACATTATTTCCTTAAAGAAGAGCTTCAGAAAATTTGATGCCTTTTTGAGAGGGAATAACATGGTGAGAATTACTTTGCCATTACAAACTAATTTAAGAGTTAGAACTTTTTATTATAATTAGAATGTTTTAATGAAACTCTAAAGGTGTCCAAATTACCATTAGTATGAAAAACTACTTCTTGTTAATATTCTATATATGGAAAGTGCAATTTATAGCTCCTTTTTAAAAACTAACTTTGAAGGAATTTGATGTTGATAGGTTTGTAGCATTCTTCATTCAGCATACCCTATGGAGTTTTATATCAACTAGATGTAAATCAATACTAGCATCAGTTGAACCCCCTGGGAGTTCCTTTCCAAATACCCTTTAACATCACTCTTAGGTCTACTTTATTTTAATGTAAGTGTTTGCAAGTAATTAGGTCTCACGTTCATAAGTGAGTTTCAACTAATGGAATAAGTTGATATTATGGTTCATAGAAAGATAAATATTTTATGTGTTCAAAAAACTAAATGAGTTGGAGCAAAGGCCAAGGAGATTGATAACTTAGATTTTAAACTTTGGTATTCAGGTAAGAGTCACACCAGAAATGGAGTAGGTGCAATTATAGATAATAGGTTAAAAGATGATGTTGTAAAATTTAATGTAGTTGGAGATAGAATTATGACACTTAAGATTTTAAATGTTGTTGATGCTAAGATTTTTAATATTATAAGTGTTTATGCTCCTCTAGTAGGTTTAGATATAGGTTCTAAAGATAAGTTCTGAAATGACTTAGAAGACTTGATACAAATGATACCTCTTGAAGAAAGAATTTGTATTGGAGGAGATTTAAATGGATATGTCGGTAGAGTAGAAGATTTTAAAAACATTCATGGTTGCTATGGTTTTGGTGTGATTAATGAAGAAAGTAAAACTATATTAGATTTTGCTTTAGCGTATGATTTTGTTATTACTAATATTTTTTTCAAGAAAATAGATCAACATATTATTATTTATAAGAATTGATTTAATAAAACACAAATTGATTATTTTCTTATGAGAAGAAGAAATCGTTGAGAATGTAAAAATTGTAAGGTCAAAAATTGTAAGGTCTAAAAATTGTAAGGTCATTCCAAATGAGGATTTAAGTACTCAGCATCGATTATTTGTTCTAGATTTTAAGATAAAAAGTTGTAAAATAAATGATACTTGAAATCATCATCATAGAATTAGATGGAGATAGCTAAAAGACACAAATAAATATATTTTTACGAGTAAAATTCAAAATTTTAAAATTTAGGATGCTTATGAAGAAACCAATTCTATGTGGGATAAAGTAACAAACACTATTAAATAAGTGACAAAAGTTGTACGTGGAGAATCAAAAGAAAAAAGTTTACATAAATAAAAATATTTGGTGGTGGAATAATAATGTGCAGGAAAAGATAAAATATAAGAAGTTATGTTATAAAAATTGGTCTAAGTGTAAAAATTTAGAGAACTGAGAAAAATATCAAACGACCCGTAGGGAGTCTAAGAGAACAATCTGAAACGCTAACAATTTTGCTTTTAGTGATCTTTATAATAGATTAGATACTAAAGGGTATGAAAAATATATATAGAAACTAGCCAAATAAAGAGAAAAAAAAATTAAAGATTTAACTCTGTATTAAAAATGAAAATTAAAAATTGTTTTTCTTAAAAAAGATATTCAAAATAGACAGGTGAGTTATTTTATTAAACTTTTTAATGAAGTTTCGGAAAATACAATCGACTTTAGTGATCTTAATATTGTTAAAAATAATAAATTGTTTCATTTTTACAGTCGCATTAGTAAGAAAGAAGTTGAGGAGGATTTAAAAAAAATCAAGGTTGGAAAGTATGTGGGACTGGATGATATCTCAATTGAACTGTGAAAATATTTAGGAGATCAGAGAGTTTCTTGGCTTACTAAACTCTTTAATAATATTTTAAAAAATAAAAAGATGCCTGAGGAGTGAAGGAAGAGTATTTTGGTCCCCATTTTTAAGAATAAAGGGGATGCACAAGAGTGTGCAAATTATAGAGGAATTAAGTTTATGTGTGTTTATGTGTCATACTTTAAAATTATGGGTGAGGGTAATGAAACATAGGTTAAGACTTATTACAAAGATTTGTCATAATCAATTTGGATTTATGATGAGCAGGTCTACTATGGAAGCTATACATTTATTGAGAGGTTTGATAGAGAAGTTCAGAGATAATAAGGAGGATCTACATATGATTTTTATTGATTTAGAAAAATCTTACGATAAGGTTCCAGGAGATATCCTTTGGAGAGTTCTTGAGAAAGAAAGTGTTGATATGACTTGTATTCAAGTCATTAAAGATATGTATACAAGAGTTGTTACTTGTGTTTGAATTGAAGGAAGATTGATAGAAGGAGGATTGACCAAATATATTGACCAAATATTTTCTTATTTCTGTTGGTTTACATCAGGGATTGACTTTAAGCCCATATCTTTTTGCTTTAGTTATGGATAGTCTTACTGGAAACTTACAGGAGGATGTACCTTGGTGTGCTTTTTGGTGATGATATCCTTCTCATGGATACGATGAGAGAAAAAGCCTAGGAAAAACTTGAATTATGGAGGTCTACCTTGGATTCTAAAGGCCTTTGTTTGAGTAGAACTAAAACTTAGAACTAAGAGTAGAACTAAAACTGAATACATGGAATGTAATTTTGGTAATAGTAGTTCTAGTGACATAAATATAACTATGGGTGATCAAATTATTAAAAGGTGCGAACGCTTTAGATATCTCGAGTCTATTGTTCAAAGTGTTGGTGATATTGATGGAGTGTTATTAGTAGAATTCAAGTTAGTTGGTTGAAGTGGAGGAATGCTTCATGCCTATTGTGTGATTAAAAAGTATTGCTTAGACTGAAAGGAAAATTTAATAAGTTCGTGGTGAGAAATGCAATGCTCTATGGCGCTGAATATTGGTCTTTAAAAGAGAAGAATAAAACTAAGTTATGTGTTGCCGAGATGAGAATGCTTAGGAGGATGAGTGGCTTTACACTTACAAACAAAATGCGAAATGAATATACCCGTGCATCCTTTATAGGGTTGGTGTAGCTCTAGTGACGGACAAATTAAAGATAGCCGTTCTAGATGGTTTGGTCACATTACACGTCGACCATCTGATGATCCGATTAGAAGATATATGTTTTAGATTCGAATTGTGTTAAGAAAGACAGAGGTAGACCTGGGATGACTTGGGCATGTTGTATAAAAAATGATCTTATTTATTAGGATTAAATGAAAATTTGACAC